ATGGGCCTCCCTGGACTCTGGGGTTTAATCTTACCCTCCCTCTTTTAATTTGAGCATGACTGTCTTCATGTGCAGGTTTGCCTTTCTCCCTTTCCTTTTCTTACAATTTATCTGTTGGAGGTAGCTGGGCTGCAGGACCCCTAGAGTTTCCTGGGTTTTGCTGATTGGACGCCGTGAGGCAGTGTGACATGCTCCTGTCCTCTGGAGGTCCTGGTGCCTTTTATCACACCAAACACAGTGTCTTCTGTCACGGAAGGAGCTCAGCGACCATTTTGTAATTGACGGGGACGGGGACGGGGACGGGGAAACTTGGGTATGTGATTCATTCATAATGGAGATACCACGTGCCCTGTCTGAATTTCCAAAGCCGCTGGTGACTTTGAAAGAACCAAATTCTAGTAGAGCTTTATGTTTAGGTGAAGTATGCACTGCAGTTCTTAACCAACTCGGTTTTCTCTCTCACGCCTCTCGAGGACAATGGATCCAAGATCGAATCCCAGGACTCACCTTACACCCTGGGTCATACTGCAGCTTCTCAAGTCTGTGCTGTCAGTAACAAATGCTCCCATGTTTCTAATATTCATTTTTGAGCATTTTCAGACCATCGCATGTGTACGTAGCTCCGCAAATTCACATTCTGTTTGGGTCAGCCAGGAAAGGGAAAGGTGGAGAAGCCAATACTGATCTGAGAGAATCAGGAAGCAGGCTGTCTGGATCAGGTCAGCCTTCGAGCTAGCTCGGTGTTCGTCCGTACCCTGGATGTACGAGGTCAGTCCGTTTCCGCTAAATATATGTAAAACTACACATAGCCTATAATTGAACTTTTCTTTGATGAGTCATCTTCTGCTGCCTTTAGTCATCACCATGAGTGATTTTTAGACACCCCAGAAGTCACATTTTAAAAATAAATCCGGTATCAGGTTTTCTTTTTAGCCCTTTGTAAGTTTCTCTCTCTCTCTCTCTCTCTCTCTCTAAGATTTTATGTATTTGAGAGAGAGATAGCAAGAGAGAGCATGAGCAGGGACAGAGGAGAGGGAGAAGCAGGCTCCCTGCTGAGCAGGACACTGAGATCATGACCTGAGCTGAAGGCAGATGCCCAACTGGCTGAGCCACCCAGGCGCCCCTGTAACTTTCTCTTAAAGTAGACCGCTTGCCGCGTTACAACCATGGGATTGAGGCCTCCTGAGTTGCCTAAGAGAGGGAAAGACAAGGACGCCAGTGAAGCTGAGAGACCACCCAGGGGCCCCCTGAAGAGCCAGGCTTGTGATCCTGGACCCCAGGAGGATGAGGCCACCTGTGCGCAGTCAGTGGAATGCCACTAGGACGGGTCTCCTGAAAGCAGAGATTGTTCGCTTGCTCCAGATGATGTTAAAGACAGACTTTCTCTTCACTACTGGAGGGGAGGAGAGGACAAAAAAGGGTTGGTCTCTACATTACCTTGGCTTGAGGCCCATTTCTCATGTCTTCATGCTTTTCCTGGATTCCACATGTCTGCTGTGCGCCGTGGGTATACAGTAGGTGCTGCATACTCAGTGGTGAGCCACACTGAACACAGTGCTTGCTCTCAGGGACCTTCTGACCATCAGGGAGCAGGCACGCAGCCCGCAGAAGAGATGAACAATGGAGAGGCGGGGGGCGAGTTAGGCAGGTGGCCAGAGCAGGCCAGGGACATGGCCCATGCTGGCGCCTTTGGCAGGCTCCGTGTTTTTGAACGTCACTGTAGTCGAAGCGTAATTAACAATCTGGAGCAGGACTCAAGTGCCACTTTCCCAAAAGCCATCTTTCACTCCAGCAAATACAGAAACGTCATGGCCCCTGTTGGTCTCCTTCATGTGTCACCATCAAGTGTTTTATTTTATTTGGGGAGGGGGAGGGGCAGGGGGAAAGAGAATCTCAAGCAGGCTCCCCGCCCGGTGCTGAGTCCAGAATGGGGCTGGATCTCATGACCCTGAGATTATGACCTGAGCTGAAATCAAGAGTTGGGTCACTTAACCGACTGAGCCACCCGGTTCTCTAACCATCACGTATTTTAGATTCCCCCCCACCCGGGAAGCCTTCTCACGATCACAGGGAGTTGGAACGTACATGTGGCATTTGTACGTGGTTGATTTGTTCCTTATTCTGCTTAAAACTGGCAGCTCTAGATCCCTTTGATCCACCCCTGGGAGATTGGGGCAAGCGTTCTTGGTACAACATAGTCTCGTCGGCATCATACGGCGTGTCAAGCACAGATCGCGATGAACTCAAGTTTTAAAGCTTACTTTAAATTTTCCTGTATCTTCTTTACCAACGGTTTGGTTTTCACGGATCTCCTATCCAAATTACCAAGTAGACTTTGAAGTACCCACAGTTTCTAGTTGGTTATATTTTGTCGTAAAAAGCATTTCTCAGGGCACCTGGGTGGCTCCGTCAGTTAAGTATCTGTCTTCGTCTCAGGTCATGATCCTGGGGTCCTGGGATCAAGCCCTGTGTGGGGCTCCCTGCTCAGCAGGAAGCCTGCTTCTCCCTCTGCCTCTGCCTGCTGCTCCCCAACTTGTGCTCTCTTTTTCCCTCTGTCAAATAAATAAATAAAATCTTTACACAAAAAAAAGCATTTTTCACCTTTCATAAGTAACGGTCCAGAAATGGGAGAAGCCTAGGATCATGTGTTGGAAATGACCTACCAACACCCAGGGTGTTTGGGTCTCTACATTGGAGATTACGCTGAGTGTCCTCACTAGGTTTGTTGGCGGCAGAAGGAGAGGGGACCTGCCTAGCCTTGGTGTGTGGTTATGTTCAAAGGGCAACTTGAACTCACAAGGCTTTCCAGTGCTCTCCCTCTTCCATTTTGTCTGCTTTCCATTTGCATGTAGTATAGCTCTGCTCCCTCTTTCCTTCGCGCATTACTTGAGACTGACAGCCCTGTGGCCGGAAGGCTCACCGTGTCACCTAGCAGCCCGTAAGCCATGTTCCATGCGGCTCTGTTCCACCTTACTGTGCAGATGCCCCGTAGCCCCACACATGGCAGGGGCTCCCCAACTTTCATTCCCTCACTTGTGCCATTTCCCCATTATCTCTCTGCTTCCAAGTCCACTATTCTTCCCCCTTCCTGTCTTTGCTTTTTGGAGCCTCGCTTTCCCCACCCACCCATTCCCGTGACTTTCCTTCTCCTTCTCTAGGGTTCATCCACCCAGCCTTTTTGGCTCTCTCCCCATTTCTCACTCTGCTCATTTTCTTCCCTGCCTGCCCACTATTTTGCTTCTGCCTCGCCTCATCTCCAGGACCCGTGTCTCACCTTCTGTGATACTAATTGCATCTGGCATTGAATTTTGATCAGTTACCCGACTGACAGCAACAGACTGCGTGTGTGCATTGTTTAAACTCCATGGGCGGAACGCTGGTTTGTCCTGTCTTGCGTATGCCCAACCCCCAGTGCCTAGATTGAGGTCTTGGTGTGGACAAGTGGGTGGCTAATACCTTGCAGTAGAATAAAGAAACAAATGGGGGCGCCTGGGTGGCTCAGTCGGTTAAGTGTCTGCCTTCAGCTCAGGTCATGATCCCGGGGTCCTGGGATCAAGCCCCACACCTGGCTCCCTGCTCGGTGGGGAGTCTGCTTCTCTCTCCTCCACTGCCAACTGCTCGCCCTGCTTGTGCTCTCTCACTCTCCCTCTGCGAAATAAATAAATAGAATCTTGTAAAAAAAAAGGTGGGGGGGAAGAAATTAATAAACACATTGCTGTCCATTATCCATAATTTCTGCTGCAGATGAAATTTCTGGATCTTCAAGCTTCCAGACCCTATTGAGTATTCCAGATGTCCATCCTGGATGGATGGACAGATGACAGGCATAGAGAAGGCTCTGTGTTGTTTATCACACGACTGAGGAATAGTAAGTCAGGGTCTAGTCATGACTCATACACTCTTGTGGCCTCACATCAGAGAGCTGTAACCTCCCGCAGCGTAAGTTCATTGGTTTGAAAATGAGCTACGTTTCACCAGAGTATGGGAGAAGAGATGTGTGTAAAAGCACTTTATGAATTAAGAACACCAGACCAGTAAGGCATCATTATGTTGCCTATGTTAATCATAATACAACTAGGAATTTAAAATTGGACTCTTCATGTTACAGAGATGTGGTTTACTCTTTTTTTAAAAAAGATTTATTTATTTTAGAGAGAGAGAGAGAGCACCTGCGAGTGGGAATGCACTAGTGAGGGGAGGGGCAGAGGATTGTCTTCCGCTGAGCACGGAGCCCGATGCAGGGCTCAATCTCACCACCGCGAGATCACGACCTGAGCCGAAATCAGGAGTCAGATGCCTAAGTGACTGAGCTACCCAGGCGCCCCTTCTAAATCCAACTGTTGGAGGAATGTATCTCATCATCAAATGCTAAATGATGGCATGGACTTGAGGCCATAGAGAGTAATTTATAGAAAAGCCTCCCTGCTGTAGGGATTTAGGACTGAGCATAGACACACCCGCACAAAAACAGTGAAAATATGTACGCACTTGTAATAGCAAATGTTTACGCAAATCAGTGCGATGGTTTCCCTTCAGCCGATTTTTATTTTTTTAATGCCAAGATGTCATTCATAGTGTCCTGGTTTTGCAACAGCTGACTTGTGCCATGCCCAGCCCCCTGAGTTGCCTGCCTTAAGTTTCAAAATTCAGAAACTTGATCTTGTTTTGTTTCATTCCCAGACTGTGGGAGAGAATGTGCTCACTGCATTCATCAAAGATGTTAATTAAGGTCTTTCCTCATTAATTTTCTTCTTTTCGCCATACGTTGGCCCGCTCAGAATAGAGAAATCGGTCAGACCCATCTCACGAAATTGAGTCATGGTGAGTGCATCTGTTTCCGACCCTCGCTGGGCTCCTCGGATTGGCAGGTGGACAAGGAGAGGGCTGAATTCGGAGCCTCCTTTAATGTCCCGCTTTTCCTGCCTTAGCAAGCCCCGTAGCCCGGGCATCCCTTAAATAAGCTTTGCCATTCTAGCCCTCTTCTCCTGCCATTCCCACAGGCCATGCAGGACGCGCTGGCGGACCTTCCAGAGTGGTATGGAATAAAAGGCATGCAGGCCCACTGGATCGGGGACTGTGTGGGCTGCCATCTGGACTTCGCATTGAAGGTGATGGAGCAAAGCCTGTCTGTGGATTCACGCTCACAGATCCACATATCTGCGGTTTCAGAACTCACCGAGCCAACCAAGCAGCAGCATCTCAAACTTGGCAATAGCCACGTTTTTAAAAGTGCAAAGAAAGAGGCGAAATTGGTTTTAATAACGTATCTTTATTTAACCCATTGTATACCAAGAAATGATCGTTTCAGGACGTGAGGAAACCGTCGACACTCGGGTTTTCGTACAGTCTTTGAAATCTGTGCTCTCTTACATGTAGAGCAACGCTGGCCACATTCCAAGTGGTTCCGTTGCCTCCTACTGCTACAGGCCACCCTCCTGGTCAGCACAGGTAGAAGGTTTTCTGTGGGTCCAGGAACTCCCTGAGATGAGGTGCAGAAGGATGTGTGGGCATTTTCCTGTGCAGCAGGCCCAGAGCTCCAAGGTGTTCATGTCACAAAGCAGGTTAAAAGCCAACAAGCCAAGGGTGACACCACCTCAAAGTGGGGCACACCCGAAGCTGGTGAGGGTCCTGGGCTGACTCAGGGTTCAAAAGATCCTACCTGTGTGGAAACACTGGTCAGAGGTCACTACCAAAAGCCCACCTCCTCCAAAAGGTGCCCTCCCCAAACCTTTCTCTTTGTCCTTACAAGACAAGATGGTTGTTGTTTTGCTGTTTCTTACCTGGGAAGGTTCTGGGGATTTTGGTTTTTTGTTTTGTGTTTTGTTTTAATTCTTCAGATGTCTCCTCCCTATGCAAGACTTTTGTGCCCTTAGCTACAGACCCATCCCTCACCTTAGGCCAGACCTTGAGAAGGAGGGGACGGCAGCCAAGAGACAGAGTTGACCTACTTTTCTAGACTCCTCCTACTGACAGCCATGCCGGTGTCTGCTGAGCTCCTGCTGCCTGTCACAGAGCTCACACTTGCCTGGGTCGTCTCCTCACAAATGTGGTCCACTTCACTCCCAACTGCAGACACGGGAAGCCCGCCCCCCACCCCCATGAGGGAGCAGGGACTTTGAAAGCTTTGAAAACCAAATCCTGAAATGACCAAATTCTGTCACCACTTTCCTGAGAAGGTGGTGAGATTTCTGAAATTCAGTCCAGCTGCTACTTTGGTTCAGACTCTTGGGGCCATTTCTTTTGGGGTCCTACGCATTAGACTGGGTCGGGCCCCCGTGTCAAAAGGCCTTGGCTTCTCAGCCAGGCTGAAGGTGGTGGGTCTCTGAGCCGTTCGGCCGCTGTACAGGAAATGGCTTCCACGTTCTCTCTCTTCCCCAACATTTTATTAATGAAAACGTTTCCGTCTCTGTTCCTGGACCCACCTGAAAATGAGATGTCTCAGGGGAGGGAGCACTCTCAGTCTGGCAGGTACAGGACCTAAGTCTGGCTCCATAGGGGACCCCTAGCCGGCACTCAGGCCATAGTATACACTTGCCCGTCACTGGCCCGCTGTGAGCACATCTGAGTGAATGTGTGAAGGCAGGAGCATCTGTCCCCTCTGTGTCTGTCCTATAATTAGCATTCAGTTGATGCCTAATGTATACCTCTTCTTTCAGAGGCATTTAACCAGCCTAGGACCGTGCTAAGGCGGGACCTGAGGTGTCTTCTCTTTCCTCTTCAGAACAGTTTTAACCTCAGTGACTGTCTTTCTGGTTAGAAAAGCAGATGCCTTTATTTATTTATTTATTTATTTATTTATTTATTTATGTATTTATTTATTTTACTATAAATCCCGGAGGAAAGGATAGCTCCTTTCTCACGACGTTGATAGCTATTTTTGATTTATGAACAAAAGAGCCAGGAGAATGAGGGAGGCATCTTTCCCAGCATGCTTTGACCACGTTCGATTCTGAGCCGCCACATATGTCTGGCAGTGGGCACCAGACTTCTCGAAGAGAAATAGTGATCGTCGTCTCTGTTGTCTGTGTCTGCCCAGTCCAGGGGTTACCTCAGGGCTCCACATCCCTGGGGTGCAGCCCGGAACTATCCCAGGTGTTTGGGCTTGAGGAGGGGAGGGGAGGAGGGGACGTGGCCCGGGAGCACGACAGCCCCAAAGGAGCCCTGAGGAAGGAAATGGCTCTGCTTTTACCTGCCAGGTGGATGGTCAAGTCACCGGAGAAAAGCTGACCGCCTACACGGCCACACCCGAGGCCATCTACGGCACCTCCCACGTGGCCATCTCTCCCAGCCACAGACTCTTACACGGGCACAGCTCGCTGAAGGAAACCTTCCGGAAGGCACTCGTCCCTGGCAAAGGTGAGCTGGCGAGTTCAGGCTAACACGGGGATCACACCTTCCAGCTGGACAGCGATCGCTTCCGGGGTTCACGGGCCTTTCCCATACGTTGTCCTGTGTGATTTGTTCCTCACCCGGGCCTTACCTGTTAGTTTTCTATTTTCCCAACAGGATAAATGAGAGATTAGGAAATGTCCCCACCCCCAAATGCGCTTTGGGTGGCCGGTTGCTCGGCTTCTTGAGTTTCTGACCAAAAACTCAACTCTTCTCTTTAGATACAGTCTAGCCTTAAGGGTCTTTCTGACAGGAATAGCATCTTCTGCTTAACTTATAATTCCATCGTCAGATAAGACAATCCTGATGATGGCGACAAGGAGGAAACCGGTGAGAATCAGAGAAAGCATTTTCAACAACTTCGTTTTATTGTTTTAAAGAATTCCCACAGTCATCTGAGCAGCTGAACAGGGTCCCGTTCAGCATGAGGCCTTGGGTCGGTCGATCAGGCTGACCCGGAATGGGCCCAGCAGGTGTTCCTGGCCTGTGAGGATGTGGGGAGTGCCTGGGCGTTAGTCAGGAGGCTGTGGGTGCGAGCAGCAGAAGGCACCCCTGGCCGACCCAGAGGACAAAGGGAACCTCCTGGAGGCCGTGGGCAGCTTGCTGACTAGCAGGAACTAGTCTGGAAGAGGACCCGGATCAGGCAGCTGTGGGGGGTTTGGCAGCGGGAGCTAACAGTCTCCTGAGCGCCACTGTCTAAGTGAGTCTGCTCTCACCTCACCTCAGTGTGTGGGGTACTGGGTCCGAGATTCCCGTTGCAGGGCAAGGGGTCTGGATGGTATAACTGAGGCCCGTGGCCTTTCTCTTGGGCAAGGGAAGGTCAGACACCTTCCTTGTTCGACCACCAAGACCAGAACCAGGGAGGAGGGGTCGCTGCCCAGAACCAACTCAGAGGCTCTTACTAGAGGGGAGGCAGTGTGGACCCTGGGCAGGCAAAAGGAGGTCCCCCGTCGATTAGAAGTAGGTCTCTGGAGGGGGCGCCTGGGTGGCACCATTGGTGGAGTGTCATCTCTTGGTTTCCACTCAGAGTCGTGAGATCGAGCCCCGTGCCAGGCTCCATGCTCAGCACGGAGCCTGCTTGACATTCTCTCTCTCCCTCTCCCTCTCCCTCTGCCCCTCCCCCATCATTCTCTCTCTCTAAAATAAATAAATAAATCTTAAACAACAACAACAAAAAGAAGAACAAGAAGAAAAAGAGGAAGAAGTAGGTCTCTGGAGAAATGTAAATTTTTCTGTAAAAGTCTCATCCTTATTCTCTTTTCACAAACTCTAAATTCCAACCCAAAGAACACAGTCTGAATTTTCGGGGTCTGTGAATTATTTGACTTCACAAAAATGGTTTGCAGGATAATGCAGAGTGTTTCCTTTTAATTGCTATTCCTAAGATAACCAGAATGAAAGGCTTCCTGGTATCAGGCTAGAAAGATAGTGTCATCCCAACTTACCTCTGCGGAAGACTTTTAATGGCTTACTTCCAGCATTGAAGGCAGGTTCAAACCAGTGAGCGTTTCGGAGGAGCCTGCTGGTGCTAAGCGCTAGGGCATGTGCAGAGGGCCGGTCTCTGTCCTGCCTCCCCCCGCCCCCGCCCCGTGACCATGGCAGAGGAGGGCCAGACACATGTGTGGTGCACTCCAGCCCGAGAGAGGTACCACTTGCCATCATCTTCCATTGTTACATACTGAAACAGAAAAAAGACTTGTGTTGAAATTCCAGTGTTGTGCTTATAAAGTCCTGGGTAGCTGTCTGTTTGATTTTCCACTTACTCCAAAGAAAAACTGGATTCTTTTCAACTCTTCAGTTGAAAGGGAAAAACTCATCGTTTTTTACTCTCATGAGCACTCAGAGATTCCTTGTGGGCTGCGATGGTTGAAGAATATCTAAAATGGAAAAACTAAAAAATGTAAACATCTAGCCCTTAGATTTCGTTTTCTTACAGTTAACCTGGGACACACATTAAAACGAGGTAATATTAACAGGAGCTTCATGAGACCATGCATTATGAAAGACGGAGCTCCTGGCATGAAAGGCTCTGTATAAATTCCAAACATTTTGATATGTAAAAAGTTAAATTATTTTCGCAAATGCAAAGAGCGACGTTTTCATGGTCATCCTGGGTATTGTCACCTTTGACCTGTCCCATCATTTCATTTTAGCGCTGAATGGCTCGCCAGCTTCGTCCTCACCTCTTTTTAATCTCAGAAATAATTCCAAATGGAACATTACACTTGGCTCTGTATTTTCCAATTCTAATTTTCAGACTAGAAATACTCTTGCAGAAGTCAACTTCTTCAAAGTCTCAAGATTAATTGGCATGTCAAGTCTCTGGATTTTGACATGTGGCATTGGTTACGTAAGGCCAGTAGTGTGCCTTGGCAATGCAGTTTTTCTAAAAAGCAAATTAAAACTCACCATATGAATATGGATGTATGCTTTCTTCGGCCTTGGAGGTGATATTTGAAACCCGAGCGTCATGTCGCTGTTGTCTGTTACCACTGCTGACTGGCTCAAATCCGACAGGCGGCTTGATTTTTTTCTCCTCTGGTGTCAGGTTTTGAAGGTGACTAGTGACCACTGAAAGTCAGGGCAGCACATGGCTGTGACACCAATGTATCACTTGAAGGAGTTTCAATCCTCAAACGGGTTCCCTCAGCCGCTAACTTGGTTTCTGCGTAGCAGCTCCTGCGTGGGCAGAAGATGGTGAAGGTTCTGGTCCCAGAGCCATCCTGTGAGTTAAGGAAGGTCACTTCACCTTTGTGAGTTTGGCCTTCCCAGCCAAGTGGGCAGAGCGGTTGTGGGGGGCCCTGTGGGTATGGAGGGAGCCCTGTGGGGCTCAGTGGAGGGGGATGACACGCATAGATCGGGGGGCATGCTTGGCAGAGGGCAGGCAGGAGGGCCAGCAAACCACGAGTTAAGAGATGGTGAAGACAAGAGAATGGCGGTTGTCAGAATGGCGGGGCCATAGCAGCTCCCAGAAGTTTCTGGAGGGCAGCAAGGGCAGAGGCTTTGGGGACACTGCCCTGATTTCTGGGTTGCTGGTGTTATTGACAGAAGTACTGTGTTTTTTGCTCAGCTTTGTCTGATTTGGCACAGATTCCTTTAGGAGAGCAAAAAGTCAGGTGTTTCCCCATAGAGTTCTTCAAACTGAGTTTATTTCTATCTTTCACGTTGCCTCCTTCTCTCAGTTGACCGCCTCTGACTTAAGTCATGTTATGTAAGCTCTGACTTGATGGGAGCTAGAAACCATAAAAACCATCAATAGGGAAATATCTTCAGAGTTCTAGAAGCTGTTCTGTCTCTTTCCTGGCGTCTTTTCTTAAATTTCTAATATTAAAATAATATTCAAACCCTGAGGCTTTGGAACACACATTTCAGGCTCTGAGTCACCGGTGGTCTCCACAAGGCACTTTTTTTCGCCAAAAGGTTAAGTGAGGTCTCCCTAAAGGGTACCACAGAACCCCGTTGTTCTTGCCACATCAGAGAGCAAGAGCCTCATCTCCTGGGGAGCCCCGGAGCATTAAATAATTCATTGCTCACTCTTGGTTGGCCTGCCCCCTTTCTGCTCAGTATGTGTATGGGTTTGGGATGCCGTAGGTTTTAGTCTGTTCTTTAATCAAACAGTTCCCTCTACCATCCTTCCAGCACATGCTGATAGATGCTCTGTGGAGGGAAGAGCCTCTGCGCTCACATAACCTGGGATAAACAGAGATGAACAGGTCACTTCATTCCAGGACTTCTCAGAACCTTTGCGCATCTGTTGTGCACCATGACTGTCTCCGAGAGCGGGTCACATGGCACTTCCCACACTTCCTTGACTGCACAACCCTATTCCCAGAGTATCCCCGAGCGAGCGAGCAAGCTAGCGGAGCACTGCTTTGCTGATCACTGAGCAAAAGCCATCTGCTTGTTTGTTTGTTTGTTTTTTCCAGAGGGCACGAAACACCTGCCTGCTCTGCAGGGGGGCCCCAAGGGCAGAGGGCACCTTTGAGCCCGGAATGCTTCCTTTTGTCGAAAGCATCTGGCAGTTACGGAATCATTGTAGGAAATGCCTTGGTTATGCCAGATTTCTCTGTGGCCTCCTTGCGTCCTGCTTCACGAGGGCAGAACCTGACTGAGGAGAAACACAGAGAGCTCTCGATCTGGTCCAGAGCTTCCGATTTTAGTTTTGTCCTTTCTAAGAAATCGATTTTGACCGGGTGCGTCGAGCATGCAAGATGCTGCCGTGAATTCATTACCTATTGGCTTAATACTTAAATTCATACTCTGATTTTTTTTTTCTTTTCTAGTGGAAAAACTGCCCTGATAGAACTTTGAGGTAGGAAAAATGAAAACAGCAAAAAGCCAAAAACCCAACCCCAACCCAACTGTTTCATGTAGTACGCCACATTTTTTTCTTTTTTTTCTTGTAATGACTTTATTGAGATGTAATTCACCCCTAATTGAAGGTGGACAATTCCGGCGTTGTTAGTATATCCACAGAATTACGCACAGTTTTAGAACGTTTTTGTCACCCCCAAAGAGATCCCGTACCCTGTCCCCACTGTTTACCGCAGCCCTAGGCGACCGCTGGTCTGCTTTGTCCATAGATCTGCCAATCCTGGACATTTCATATAAATAGAACCACGCAGTATTTTGTCCTTTTGTGACTGGCTTCTTTCACTTAGTATAATGTTTTCAAGTCTCGTCCGTGCTGTGGCCTCTGTCAGTACTTAATTCCCTTTTATTTCAGAATAACATTACGCATTTGAGTTGTCCATTCACTGGTTGATGGACATTCTAGCTACTTCCTCGCACTTATGAGTGGTGCTACTGTGAACACAGGTACGGATTTCCGTGTGGACGTATGCTTTCATTTCCTCAGGTATGTACCTGGGAGGGGACCTCCTAGGTCATATGGTAGCTCTGTGTTTAACTGGCCAAGGAAGTATCAGAGTTTCCCTTAGCAGCTGCCAGTTCCTCTCCATCTTCGCCAACACCCGTTATTGCCTGTCTTTCTAACGGTGATCCTCCCAGGGGGTCGGGAGTGGAATCTCATTGTGGGTTTGATTTGCATTAGCCCAATGGCTAGTGATGCTGCACATCTTTGCATGTGTCTGTTGGCTGTTTGTGTATCTTCTTGGGAGAAATGTCTACTCAGGCCCTCTGCCCAGTTTTTAATTGAGTTGTCTTTCCTTTGTTGATTTTTTTTTTTTAAGATTTTTTTTTTTTAATTTATTTGACAGAGAGAGATCACAAGTGGGCAGAGAGGCAAGCAGAGAGAGAGAGAGAGAGGAGGAAGCAGGCTCCCCGCAGAGCAGAGAGCCCGATGCGGGACTCGATCCCAGGACCCTGAGATCATGACCTGAGCCGAAGGCAGAGGCTTAACCCACTGAGCCACCCAGGTGCCCCTCCTTTGTTGATTTTTAATAGTTATTTACATATTCTAGATACAAGTCCCTTCTCAGATGTATGCTTTACAGAAATATTCTCCAGTTCTCTAGGTTGTCTTTTCACTTTCTATTTTACATGTAGGTCTTTCATCCATTTTTGAGTTAATTTTTATATACAGCAAAGGTAGGGGTCTGCCTTCGTTCTTTGCATGTGGTCATATTGCCTTTTTTTTTTTTTTTAAGTATTTTAGTTATTCATTTGAGAGAGCAAGAGGGAGTGAGAGAGCACATGCGAGCTGGGAGAGGAGCAGGGGGGAAGAAGAGAGAAAGAATCTTAAGCAGACCCCTCACTGAGCACGGAGCCCGATGCGGAGCTCAGTCCTACGACCCCGAGATCATAACCTGAGCTGAAACCAAGGGTCGGATGCTCAACCCACTGAGCCACCGGGGTGCCTCAGTGTGTGGTCGTGTTCCCACAGAAATGTGCCTTAAAGATCATTCAGCTTTTGTCTTTATGTTTTGGTCTTCACGTAACATGATTTCAGGCAGTGGGGTGGTGGTGGGAGTTGTTCATTTTTAGGCCGGCTTTTTTTTTTTTTTAATTTTTAAGATTTATTTATTTATTTATTTATTTGACAGAGAACACAAGTAGGCAGAGAGGCAGGCGGGGTGGGGGGAAGCAGGCTCCCTGCCAAGCAGAGAGCCCGATGTGGGGCTCAATCCCAGGACCCTGGGATCATGACCTGAGCCGAAGGTAGAGGCTTTAACCCACTGAGCCACCCAGGCACCCCAGCCGGCTTCTTTTTTAGTCTTTCTTAATCCATACACAATATTCCATTCACTGGATGAACCATACTGTTCTCAGTCTTTCCTATCATGTTGAACATTTGGCCTTTCCATGTTTGGAGCTGTTGCAGACATAGCTGCTGTCAACATTTATATCCACATAGCTGTTTTCCTCTGTAGAATTACTTCCTTAAGAGACAGTCCGCCGAGTGGGATTTACTTGTTCATGGGTTATGAGCATTTTTCTAGTTCTTTTTTTTTTTTCTAATCTATCTATTTATTTATTTATTTTTCACTTTTCTAGTTCTTGTTACAGATTGCTTTTATTGGTTTTGGAAAGGGCTGTAATCGGTTTATAGTGCTGTATCCAATGATACACAAATTTCAGTGCAACTTTGGAAACATTGATGGTACCCTTCTGGAAGTTTTTGCTAACTTACCAGGTGTAAAATGACAATTCTTCAAGATAAATTTCTGTTTCTCTTTTTAAAAATTCACTTGTGTTTTGTAAGATCCAAGTGATATATGTATATTGCATGAAAAATTGAAGTCAAAGAGTATTAGCAGTAGCATGAGCTCCCTTAACCAGCCACTTTGAATTGTTTCAGGCATGTGTTCCTTAGGGTTATAAGTTTGGTGGCTACGACAGAGTCCTGAAAACACAGTGACTTAAAAAGACAGTTTATTTCTTGCCCACGTGAATCTCAAAGCAAGTATGACAAGTCTGCTCTGTGAGCTAGTCAAGGCCAAGGCTCTTTTCTGCCTTCCCACTCTGTTCTTCTAGGGTCTTGCCCTTACCTGTGTGTTCTGAGCTGTTCTACACGTCCTCTGTGTTGCAGTAAGTCAGAAGAAGGCCACGTTCCTTCCCTCTGAGAGCATGCCCTAGAAGTTGCTTCTGCACGTAACCTCAAGGCCACACCTAGTGCAGGGAAGGCTGAGCAGTGGTGCTGTGAGCTATGCAGATATGTGTGCAACTAAACGTTCTGTGGCTGAATTGGAAGGCGAGTCAGGGCTGGGGCTGACTCTCAGTCTGTGCCACAGCTGTTTCTTTGGTCCAGACCTCCACGTGTCTGTATAATACACCTACCTTGTTCCTTCTCAGTTCACCAGTTCTCAACATGACACTGCAACATTTACTCGTGCATCACCTCCCCTCATCTTCCATCCTTCTTCGTCACATTTTATCATAATTACAGACTTAGCACACGTACACATCATCTTTGAGAAGGGGCAGTACGGAATCAGAAGTATGGGTCTCCATTTTGAGAAGTGTCAGCCCTTGGGCAGCTCAGGGCAGCAGGTACTTCTCAGCCTTGGGGCCATAGGTGCTACTGAACCTCTGCCCTGGAGACCCATTTGGGTTATATGTCACTCTGTCCCCACTGTAACCTGTCTTGTGCTTCCTGATCCCCACAAGGGGAAAGAAGAGAAGACCTGGCTTAGATGCCTACAGAACGTATGTTTCCCTTTTGAAAAGAATAAATTCTTCTTCCTGGACATATCTTAACTTTGAGGTTCATAAAACGTAGATAACTATATAAAGTAGTAAAATGTGGCAAATATAAATAGTAAGAGTTCACAAATTAGAACTGTTGTCAGTTGCTTATGTTGCAGTAAGCTCAAGTGAACTCACTAATTATTTACCCCTTTGCTCCCTTCTTCCTGTGGGACTATGTTTGTGTCTTCATGCTTCCATTCCTGTGGATAGTTAAGTATTTTATTATGGCCACATAAATATCGCTCACAACTGAGCTAAGTATACTATGATTTCATTTTCCTTTTGGTAATATACTTTCTGTTTTGCCTGAAGTTAGTGATGTCCTTTTTTTTTTTTTAATTTGCTTTGTGTTCTTTGAATTTCTGAGTCTTTTCACGCCTCCCAGAGGCTCTTTAAAATATATTCCAATTTATCAGATAATGTCTTGATCCTCCTTTTTGCCCTGAAGTTGCTTCCTGGGCCCTCTGTCCTGCACAGGCCTGACCTAGTCACTCTCTATGCCTCTGCTGCCCATCTGCCATCCTACAGCTTCCTTCTGTCTTTGTTCTAAGAGTGTCCTGACCCTCTTTCCTTTGTGAGGTTCTCTGTTTCCTAGATCCCATTTCTATGTCTTTCTTGATTTATCCCTTTGTTTTGCTGAAACACATCCTCCACTATCTCCTAGAAAAGGGTAGGTAGGAAGAACTCTCCTGCTCTCTGCTTAGTTATTCTCTACTCTCCTATCCACTTCTGTCTTCAGGTGTTAGGATTTGGAATTCCAGAAATCTCCTTAGTCATCATAGGTTTTTGTGTTGCTTTTCTGTACATTCGAGGTATTTTTCAAAAGGAAAACGGGGCGGCAGGAACATCTTTACCATCTGTAAAGTAAAAATGCCATTTCACTTCTTTGGTTCTGAGCTTAGACAAACATTTTTGTGTAGTTGCTTACTCTTTTGATTTTCTACTGGTGTGAATTGTCCATTAATACCTTCAAAGAACAGATTCTTTAACAATTAGCACAAAACACAGAAGTCCTCCTGCTTATTTTTCTCGTTTGTCTCCTCTGAGACTCAGATGGTGTTAGTACCCCAGCTGTCACTCTCTCTCGTTTTCAGATTGCCTCACGCCTGTGAAGGCTGTGAACACGCTCACCCAGCAGGAGGTCCCTGTCGTTATCTTGGCCAAAGCTGACTTGGGGGGCTCTCTGGATTCCAAAATAGGTAAGTAGCTATTAAAGTATAATCAGGATAATATACGCAGCAGGCTTCGGATCAAAATACCAGCCTGTTGCTGTCAACTGGAAGAGCTCACTGCTGAGCCCACAGTCTGTTCTGCCTCTCTGGGAAAACGATAGGCCCCTTCATTTGGCCATTCCCTATTGAAGAGCTACATTTTGAAAACATACCCCGTATGCCACACCTTGCTGGTTGCTCTTGAGAATAATAAAACATGGCCCACAAATCTGGTCAGTAAAGCTCGTTGGTGAGACTCATACGTAGGACGTGGGGAGCAGTATAACTGAGATGGAATCTGATTTTGGAGCTCATATAATCAACAGCAACTGCAGAGATGGGGATCCGGACCGCAAGTGACGGACCAGACTATCCAGTTTTGGTGAAGGCCTGAGGAGGTGAACTTGAGCCCTCTAGGGAAGGACATAGCAGTCAAGTGGAAGGTGCATTTAGAACTGTGCATTGGATATCCTCCGCAGCTTTGCTTACCCTGGGGAGTTCTGAGCTGTTGTCACCTAGCAGAGGCCGGCGGTGAACCGAGGACTGAGAACTAATGACACCAGTCCAAGATCCGCCCTTCGGGTGGACCCGAGCGCCCTTCTTCCACAACATTCCCGATGAAGATCCCAGCCAGTCTCAAAGTGCCAAAAGCCTGCGGAGAAAGTTCTTCCACACTCTCGATTTCCTGGCACCCAAAAGAAATGGCATTTTTTATCGAAATCATGTTTTCCCTCCCGATTTCCAGATCAGTTTTTGACAAAGTGATTTGAAGAAACATCCAAACAAAAAATGGATATTAAGCCATTTGGGTCATTTCCTTCAGACCATTTAAACCTAGAAAGCGTGTTGCTTAAGGGAAATAATTCCTTCTGTCATTCTTTTGTATTTTACGATCAGTAAGATTCATTAATGCAACCAGCCAAGATAAGCAGTAAAGGAAGCCGTTGTTGAAGCAGCTTTTGGTGTTTCAGGGTGGGGGATGAGGAGGCACAGTATTTTGAGTCAAATTACTGGCATAATATTGAACGTTCTGAAAGGAAAGAATCTGATTTTTTTTTTTTTGGATGTGCATGGAAATTATTTCCCACAGTTACATTATTAACATTTTCTAAGTTACCGCTTCTTGACTTCCAAGAACAAACAATAGAAATAAAAAAGAGAGAAAGCAGTGTTTTCGCCATCCCACCTGCATGTCACAGATAGTTCCCATCCTGCTCAGGCCCACAGAACCCATACTGTGGTCCACAGCATTCTTTATGTGGCCAAATAAACTTTTGGCCATGGTGTCTCCATTCGAACATTTCTCCTGGTTACTCCAAACCATACACTTTGGGAATGCGGTGAGTGACTCTCTTCCCTTCTTGACCATGAACACTTCCCAGTAATACTGCTTGCCATTTGTCTTCACCCTCCCATGTCCTTCAAGTCCACTCCGAACATTTATTTGCCTTATTAGATGCTTTTTTTGGGGGGCGTCCATAATCTCAGCTGGAACGCTATAGAACTTTCTGCCATACCACGGAGCTCTGCGTCTTGCCAAGGAGCTCTAGAACACGTCTCCCAAACATGAAATCACCCTCGTTGGGCGGTGTTCCGGACACAACACAAACACAAACACAAGAGGTTGTTCACGGAAATCTGACTTCGGCACTTTGCGCGTTGTCCTTAGTCTTCCTCCTCAGTGGCCACGTGACATGTTGTGTCTGCAGAGACATCAGCAGTTTTGATAGCTGACCCCGCCACAGGGGTCCTCCACCAGGGGCGATTTTGGCCCCCCACCGCAGGGGCATTTGGCAAATTTTCAGTCATTTTTCCGTCACTCTCAGGGAGTCCTGCTGGCAGAGACCAGCACAGCCTCACGACGAAGTCGGGCCAAGACTGAGAGTCTGCCCTACAGCCCCGACCGCTGACAAGCTGGTTTTGACACAGAGCTGAAGCCGAAGCAGCCCCACCTGGGCCCTCTGGATGATAGATTCGCTTATGTTCAACCCCCATCTCAAGGGCACGTGTGTGTTGAAGAATAAATTTCTATTCAGAATGCATGTACCATTGCCTTTGGGAACAAAGCACAGTGTGAGGAAGCATGGTTGCCAGCTTTCCACTTTGGGACTGGATTTTTCTAGGGTGCCAGGAAATGCTGGAGCCGCCAGCCCTGCTTCTCAGGAGAGCGCTGCTGTCCTTGGTCCCGGAGGGAATTCAGACAAGACACTTCTCCAGATGCTCGCAGTTCACGATTTCAGTGACAAAAAGCCACCGATCTCCAATCATCTATTTTAGAACCGCGACTGTTTTTTAAAAGAGAAACAAAGCACAGGAGAAAGACTGAAAGGCAGTGAAGCTGACATAGTAAACGGGTTGTAGGAGGGTAGAGGGTTTCTCCAAGACTGTCCTCCATTTTCCCAAGGAATGAGCTGCATTTTTAGAACTTCTGTAGCTAAAAGATAGTCTCCCTTAGGAAGCTAAAGCCGAGTGTCAGTGCTGTCCATTATTTTGTGACTTGGGTGTTTGCAAAGAAGGTGTTCTGTGTTTTTTTCTCTCTGAATAGGAATTCCAAGCACCAGCCCGGAGGACGCCACCTTGGCCCAGACCCTGGGTCTCGCCTACACCGAAGTCATTGAAACTTTGCCGGATGGCACAGAGAGGTTGAGCAGCTCTGCTGAGGTTGGTTCCCTGTGGTACGGGCCTAACAGCTTCTCAAATCACGACCTTGACCTGGGTTTGTTGAGACCTTTTCCTTCAGGTGCAGGTTACAACCTGCTACTTCACTCGTCCCCCCCGCCCCACCTCACAATCTTGCAGCGTCATTTCATAACCCATGAAAACAAAACAATATTCTTTTTCAAGATCTAGAAATTTATCAACTCTAAGTCAAGCCCAATCCTAGAATAGTACGGTTATCATAATCACTATATTCTGGGCATCTTCTGCTTAGGGAAAAAAAAATTCCCTCTTCCAGGAAAACGGATTCCTTGGGAAGGTGATTGAAATTCGCTGTTTTTTCTGGAGATTTCTGTTTGCCCCAGATGACTGACTTGTTTCCGCCTAAATTTGAACTCAGGGATAGAAAATGAACATGGAGGCTGAATCATGTTTATTTGGGCCAGGTTTCCTCTTGCCAGGTGGTAGATCTGGCAGGACTTGACCTCAGCCTTGCTCTTGACCCAGACCGGGAAGTGCGATGGAAAGGGTAGGGTGAGGAGTGAGTGGGAAACAGCAGAGATGGTGCTTCTCCAACCTAAGCACAGCCCAGAATCAACTGGTGTCTTGCCCCCTCCTTGGAGAACTGATTCAGCAGCCCCAGGTAGAACCCAGGAACGAACATTTCTAACAGGTTTTCAGGTGCTGCTACTGATCAAGGATTCACATTTTGAGATTCACTGGCATAGAACCTTGCTCCTCAAAGTCTGGTCCCTGGACCAGGACCACTGGCATCACTGGCCCCAGCCTGGGTGATCCTGATTCAATCAGGCCTGAAGATCTAGGATTTTCAGGTTTGGGATTATCTAGCTGGAGGGTGTTTTATAGATAGATAGATAGAGATAGATAAAGATATATAAAAAGATTAAGAGTCTGGCCAGGTTTTTTTCCTTACCTGAGTGACAACATTTACTGACCTCACGTTTGTGCCTTCATGACATAAATGGTAGTAAGATGCTCGAGGTTGTTGAACCTTAAACCTTCTTTTTATTTATTTATTTTTTTTAGAGAGAAACATCGAGAGAGGGAATACAAACAGGCACAGAGGGGAAGGGAGAAGCAGGCTTCCCACGGAGCAGGGAGCCTGACTCGGGGATTGATCCCAGGACCCTGGGATCATGACCTGAGCCGAAGGCAGACGCTTAACAACTGAGCCACCCAGGCGCCCTAAATCTTCTATATTGGAACAGAGCCACACCAAGGTGCCTGTAAGGGAGCCCTCGATAGCTCTCTTTATGCCCCGTGATCGTAAGCTCCTTGTGGGCAGGGGGCAATGGAGCATCTTTATCTTTATCTTTATCTCTATCTCTGTGTCCCCAACGCCTAGCCGAAGCCTGGCACGTAGTAGGGACGTGGTCCATCCGCAGTGAACCAATTCCAGGGTCCCCACGGTCCCCACTGGCACTTCATGCCGGCTCAATTCTCAGCATTAGCTTGGCTCTCTGAAACGCGTCAGGGGAAGGGACAATTTCTCTTTTCTACTCTCAGTGTTCTGCTCTTCTCTCTAGAAGACGGGAGCATTTAAATACAAAAGGAGTGGTTCGGGTCCATCCACCTGTGGCCCCAATTCATTCCCCTGCTGGCCTGAATTACTTCTGCTTTAGGATATTGAATTTTCCTTCTTCCTGGATTATTTTTTCCCCCAACAGGGGACTCATCATTAGAAATACATATCGTGCACTTCTTTGTTGGCAGCTCAGGGCTGGGAGTTGGTGATCCCTATGCTATCTCGGGGCTCAGGTGACAAGCAGAGCCACAGAACCAGGGCCAGTTTGCCCCTGTGACCCAGTGGACACGGCGCCTTGGGGTCACGGTATTTTTAGGGGGTCCCCCAAAAGATGTTAATTTCTTTTAAAATCAGAGGAGGAAAAGTGAATTTTTAGGGTCAAAATCCTGTTCATCTTCCTTCAATACAGTCATAAAACATAACTTTAATACTTCCTAAGGATGGGGCACCAGGGAGGCTCAATTGGTTAAGGGTCTGCCTTCGGCTCAGGTCATAATCCCAGGATTCTGGGACTGAGTCCTGCATCGGGCTCCCTGCTCAGCGGGGAGTCTACTTCTCTCTCTCTGCCTCTGCCCACTGCTCCCCCTGCTTGTGCTCTGTATCTCAAATAAATAAATAAAAATCTTCACTTAAAAAAAACAAAAAAACCTGTCCTAGGGATAGGGAGGAAGGGGCCACAGAGGTGAAGGTCCCTAGGGTCATGAAGTCACAATGAGGCTCTGCCCAGACTACACATAAAAGCAGCAGTTTGGGGGGTACGTGGTGGCAGGTGACAGCTTGTCCTTGTGGAAGGGAGCATAGGATCTCTCTCCTTTCCCTCGCAGTTCACAGGCATGAGCCGGCAGGATGCGTTTCTAGCCTTGACTCAGCAAGCCCGGATGAAGAAGGTAGGTGGCGACGTGACAAGCGACAAGCTGAAGGACTGGCTTATCTCGAGACAGCGGTACTGGGGCACACCCATCCCCATGGTCCACTGCCCGGCCTGCGGCCCCGTGCCCGTGCCTCTGCAGGATTTGCCCGTGACCTTGCCCCACGTTACGTCTTTCACCGGCAAGGGAGGCTCCCCACTGGCCACGGCTTCAGACTGGGTTAACTGCGCCTGCCCTAGGTAAGGAATGGTGGCACCCCCGGCCATAGTGGGGCCTGTGGCCCCCGGCACCCTGCTGGAGTTTCAGGCTCTCTGCTTCCTTTTTCTGGCGCTCCCACCAGACTGGAAAGAACACCCTGGGTCTTTCTGTCCACTCACATCTTTACGAGAAACACCTGCCAACCGATGGAAAGCTACACATTTCCATCATGGCTTATAAAAGACCACTTTCTTCCATTTCATATTCCAGAGAGCTTCCTGGAAAGAGAGAAAAACATTTTCTCCTCCCTGCCTTCGTTTTCCCACCTCGTCGCTGAGAACCGCAGAGATTTTTTCCGCACGCAGCAGAGCGGTAGCTCCAAGAGTGGGGGGTGGGGTGGAAGTAGGATTGTGTTTTACTGGTAGCTCACTGGTGTATCTCAGGTGATTTGGGGGATACCATCCCTGCTGAGTAAACACCTAACCAATCCCAGGTCCAGCATCTTCTTCCTTCTATGGAGAAGCCATTTTTTTCTCTGCCTTCTAGATCACGATGACGATGTTAAAATAATTGGGTCCTCTGCTGGTTCAGAGCTGAGTTACAAGGCTGGTAATCAGGTAACTCCAGTGCAGTTGAAAGGCCCAGACTGGGGAGTCAGACAATGGATTCATGTCATGGCCCTCCCCTTTAACGACCCGTGGGAACCTTGGGAAAGTCACATGATTTCTCTTAACTTCCATTTTCTTATCGGAAACTGAAATAACCCCCTCGAAGTGCTGCACAGAAGACTAGAATTAACACCCGCAATCCTGCACAGGGATGGCTAACAAACACCCAGTAAATGGAAGCGTTGCCACCATCCTCCCAGGTCCTCACCCAGGTGGTTCTAAGATTTGCGATGGGGCTTGTGGGTGGGAACAGAGGGAGCTCTGGGCCTTTTCCGGGTAGAATCATGGGCTCTAGGAGAAAATCGCACAACTTTATTAATGAGATGTGACAAAAGGGCATCCCTGCCAGAGACCTTGGTGGCCTTTAGCACACCAGCTGCAGCAGCCCAGGGCCCCTCTGGTGGGGATAAGGCTTCCGCCCTGGCTGCGGATTCCTGGAGGGCAGAGCCCAGGTCGTGGTGTTAGTTAAGGCTCCCCGGGTGATTCTAACGAGCATCTGGGACTGACAGGCACGGAACCAGCGTGGCCAGGCAGGGCTGCAGAGCCCAGCAGATGTGGAGTCCTTGCTTCTGAGCTCCAAGACTTTGGGCAGATTTCCTAACCTCTCTGCATTTTACTTATCTGCAAAATGGGGACCTGAATGGCCTCTACCTCGTAATCCCCAGGGATCCTGGGAGATTAAGGAGAGAATAGATAAAGAAGAGATAAAGAGGTAAAGGAGAGAATTCTGGGGAAGCATTTGGCTCAGTGCCTGCACCCACTGTCCCTGTTCGTACCCTGGGAGCTAAGGACGACCATACTGTTGTCGCTGTCACCATCATCTATCCCTCCCACTTACCAAGCAGCCTGTGCCATGTAACCAGCTTTTAATGGCAGCAAAAAGATGTCTCTCAGTGGTCCTCAAGTCCCATGTGACCATTACAAAGAAAAGCAGCGTGGCCAGTCGTAGGCAGACAGACGTTACTCCTTTGATCCATCGGACCCTGTATTGTCCTGCCTTGTCCACCGGCCCCAATGATGAGGGAGAAGAAGTAACTTTTTTCTTGTAATTACTTCCCCCCAGTAGTGTCTGTTCTCTGACTGATGCTCTCCACATAAAAGATACGGCTTTAATTTAGAGATGGCGCTGTGGGGATCGGTGTCTTACAGCAGCCCTGGGTGGTAGGAAACAGGAGTCCCTCAGGCTCTCTCCCATCAACATCTGCCCCCCCAGGGACCACCACTGTTCCCAGAGGGAGGCCCCTGTGAGTCTCAGGGGCCCCTGCCAGATCTGGGGCTCCTGTGTCTCCGTTCGGCCACTTCTATTCAATAAGCAGGAGGTGGGGTGAGCTGGCTCTTTCCTTCCGTACGATTTGTAAAGCCAGCATGAACTGCCTTACAGATGCAAGATATAAATGCAGGCCTTCTTTTATTTTTAAATTAAAAGCAGACCCTTGCCCTTGCTGCAGAATTAGCAGATTCATCGGTTCCTCTTGGGGCTCCTCGTGTCCCTCCTTAGAATCTCCAAGAACCCCCAAGGACTGGGACTGCCAAAAAGGGCAGCATTTAGAAGGGCGCTTGGTCCCTCATCCAGGCCTCAAGAAGGAAAACCTGGAGTCAGAACCGTGTTCTCCAGGGGCCCTGTCAGACAGGGCCCCTGTCACCTGTGAGTAGCTGCTAGTAGCTGGTTCGATGTGTCCACCTCTGCTCCAGGCCTTGGGGTGTCTTCAGGGGGTCTGGGCCCCTCCTGGGCAAGGCTCGACTAAGGGCACCCTCTCTTGGGTTCCTAGAAGTTGTGGGGTTTTTCGTACCTGGTTCTTGACGTCCCATGGGCCCGTCACCCTGGGCGCGTGCTTCAGAACCGAGTCATCAGCAGGGCCCTTGCGGAACCTTCGTCCTCCCCAGGCATCCCCTTCCTGAGGATGAGAGTCACTTGTTCTTTTCAGCCCTGCACACACCAGGGATCTCGCTTCGCTTGCTTTCTGGAACAGTAGGGCTCCCTTTACCCTTCTGTATCCTGTCCTCTGGCAGTGGGTGCGTTGGAGGGGAGCTCCTGAGTTGTGGTGTTTGACAACTTCTGTAGTATACCTGCTTCCACCAAGGGCTAGTTTCAGGCTGCGAACTTGACATCACTTGCCACGGAGTTGGGAAGAGGTGCGAAGCGTTGATTCTTACGGACGGGTGCGAATTGGCCCCAGCATGCCACGGCCCCCAAGGCGACCTCTCTTCCAAGGGTCCCTCTAGAGGGTTTTGATGTGTGCACCCCCAGCCCTCGCAGAGATAGAGAAAACCCAAGTTCATTCTTCAGCACAATGTCTCCGTTTGATTTTCACCTTCTCTTCATAAATTGATTGGCTTCATGGGTGTCACAAAGTAGAGGCGCTGGCTGAAGGCCATCTTGACATGCCTGAAATAGAAGTGAACGGGCAAAAGAGACACTCCTGGCTTATCCACTTAGGTTGTTTGATTTTCTACCAGGTAAATATCAGACAGCTGGAGAATAAGACTTTTCACGGCTGAAGATTGAAATTTTTATTTGTAGATTTCCTTAAAACGTCCTGTACTCAACAATACGAAAGGAGAGCATCCTCTCAATTACCGATCCGTGATGAGGCATTGTTCTTGTGACATGCTAAATGGATACTAAATTGTCATCGCTTTCTCAAAAGCCGGTGGAACACTGCGTTAAAATTTAAAAAGAAACCAGTTGATGAACTTCCTTTATTTCTTAGGTGCAAGGGTGCCGCCAAGAGAGAGACGGACACCATGGACACGTTTGTCGATTCTGCCTGGTACTACTTCAGATACACCGACCCGCAGAATACTCAGAGGTAAAGCCTTTCTGCGTCCTTTGAGTGTCTGTCCATTGTGCAAGGAGCAGACAACAAAATGGAATTATATATGCAAGAGATTTACTGGGGCAGCGCCCGCAAGGGTGGGGAGGGGAGGGAGTGGGAGTTAGTGGGGGGAGCCCTGAGATCGCCATGCTGTCCCCACACATGAGAAGCAAGTAGGGGAAGGAAGGAGGGTTGGGTTGGAGGGGTCTCGGACCACAGTGCAGCTCTGGGAAAGTCTCAGCTGGGCTATGGGAAGCCCTGAGCAAAGCTTGTCTGGTAGAGAGTCCCAAGTCTGGCAGAGTGCCTCTGCGCTGGTCCCTTCCCTTTGGGAGAATAGGGGCTGGCAGGGACACTGAGGACTTCCAAAGGCACAGTAGGTAGGAGCCGCTGGTCAGCCATGCCCCTTGAAACAGGCCCTCCAAAGGGAGTGCATCAGATTATTAAATTAGATGCTTCACGGCCAAGCAAATCCCAAGTGCAAGAGAAATTAAAAAAAAAAAAAAAAAGAAGAAGGAAGAAAATGCCATTGCCTTAATACCCTTTGTGGCCCTGTGGTGAACTTCATTTATGGGCTTATAAAGATGTAATGCTGTTTACTTAACAGACACAAATGATGGGAGGGAAGGAGGTAGGGTGCACGAGGGAGCAAGGAAGCATTGCCTCTTGTCACATAAACACAGTAATTTCTAAAATTGATAAATCAATAAAGAGTATAACTGCCTGAAGAAACAGTTACAGAATTCCGAGTGGCCAAGGTTGGGGGAGGAGGGTGGGAGACGCTCTCGAAGAAGGCCGGGGCTGGGACCAGTGTAGAAACAACAAAGCTCTCAGCACAATCTGAGTTTTCAGCTTCAGGCAGGTTTCTTAGACAAAGGTAAATAGCAAATGAGGGAAAGAGGGCTGTAGGGAGAGGGGGTGAAGAGAGTGTGCAAAAGAAAGCAGTCGCAGAGCTCAGGAAAACCAAAAAGGCAGCCGCGTGCTTCCAAGACCTTGCTAGACCTTGCTCGTTGGCTCTCATCCATAGGAAAACCATTGCCCCCAAACCCTGAAGTCCACGTGTGAAAATGCCCCCCCTTTTTTCTTCAGTGGTTGTAAGCTAATACATTTCCCATGAGATGGACACTCCTGCCCCTTCCACGGCCCCCAGAGTCCCGCCCTATAGGGCTGTGATTTCTGTCATTCAAGTCATCCAGGAGTGAGGGGACCCTGAGTACACGGTGCCGGCAAAGGCAGGATGCACGGCGTCTGCTGTGGCTCCGAAGAGGGGCCCCTTCTCTGACTGTTCCTTCTAGAAGGGGCTGTTGGTGCCTTCTGTTCGGGAACAGCTGCTCAGAATGCCAAGGCAATCAGGTCCTACCTGTCAGAGCGCTTCAGCGGAAAATCCTCTCACAGATGTAGGAGGCTTTAACCAGTGATGGACTCTGAACCCAGAGAGAGACAGCCTTGAATCTGGGAATGCCATGGACCCCATCTTTGGCCTCATCAAACGCAGCTGCAAGTTTCGGCACCAGCTCGCGTGCTCCCTTAGCTGGGTTCCCCAGTAAACCATGGACCCAAGCAATAGCTACTTTCAACACTGAAATGCACCCCACACTTGTTTTCAAGATGAGCAACCCCCCCTTGACCTCCCTTTCTTTTCTGTCCCTTGGATTAGTCCTTGGATTTTTCTGAAGAACTATTATTTACAAAGGGGAAAAAATTGTCTTAATGTTACCAGAGTTCTGGCCTGGGGAGTGGGGACTAGCAAAGTGCATTAAGATGCAAATGCGGGGCGGTTGGCCACGCCTACCTGCTGCCCAAGCTTGAGCCACAGGGAGCTGGACAAAAAAAATGCCCTGATGGGGCGCCTGGGTGGCTCAGTGGGTTAAGCCTCTGCCTTCAGCTCAGGTCATGATCTCAGGGTCCTGGGATCAAGCCCCGCATCGAGCTCTGTGCTCAGCAGGGAGCCTGCTTCCCCCTCTCTCTCTCTCCCTGCCTCTGCCTACTTGTGATCTCTGTCTGTCAAATAAACAAATAAAATCTTAAAAAAAAAAAAAAATGCCTTGAGGTGTCGGGAAGAGAGTTTACAAATATTTGAGACCACAGAGTACCGGTCCTCCAAAGGCAGAGATTTACTTCATGGAATGCTCTCTAGGAAGCACATTCTCACCAGTTCTCTGCTCCCCTCCCCACAGCACGTGCGTGTACACACACACACACAAACACACACACTCTTCTACACACCTACAGACTCCCCTCTCAAGACTCCCAGGCAGAGAATAGAGGGCAGTGGTATTTCCTTTACTCCCCAGCACCCATGAGCACCAGGGAGTCCGAGGAAGCCTTCCTTGTAGGATTTCTGTCACACTGACAGTGCCTACTGGTGAGAGGGAGATGTTGGGTGAGTTTGTGTCTGTTACCCTCAGTGCGTTCCTTGCATGCCGGAGAACGTATTCAGGCCCTTGCTGACTATCTGTGTTTTAAGGCTGCTTTGAAAAATAAGGTGGAATTTGTTTTAAAATGAATATTTAGTGGCTGCCTGTTAATCTCGTTTGCAAAGGCCATTTTGCCCCCTGTTGGTAAGAACTACCTGCCCAAGGGCGGGCAAAACTAAAACAGAAATGCAGAGATTCAAATTCCTATCTTACAGAAATAACCTTTCTCACGGAAATACCTTTTTCATGCTGCCTCCGTGTTTTCCTTTTGTCCTCCTTTTACTCGAAAATCACATTTGTTGAATTGTCAGTAACGGCTCCTGAATCAGTTTTTACAATTTCCCTGTGATTTCATGCCCACCTGACTTTTTTCCCCTTTATTATATCAGCTTTTCTCTTACTGTATTTTAAAAAGACAAATCACTGTTCTTCTCGGGCATCATTTGTCTCGGGGCACAGACAAACAGTACTAGGTCTAATCTGTGCTCTTGCGGCAAAGCGGGTTTGTAAACGACGACCATTTCTCTCTCTCTCTCGTAGCCCTTTTAACGCAGCGCTGGCGGATTACTGGCTGCCTGTGGATTTGTACATCGGAGGGAAGGAACACGCCGTCATGCATTTGTTCTACGCGAGGTTCTTTAGCCATTTCTGCCACGATCAAAAAATGGTCAAACACAGGTGAGCACTTAAATACCGATCGGCCGAAGAATTCAGTCCCGTGAGTGATGGCTTCGAGCAGGTGTCTGCTCTTCCAGAGCAAGGTCAGCACGTGTAGGGGAAGACTTCACTTTTTCAAGTGTCCTTGGGCGGTCACTGTTTCTGCTACTTAATCATAGTTGCAGCGTCTGATAATCGCAGGCTCACATGGCGTCTTGCCTTCAGTTCTCTTCTCTTTAGCCGAGTTAATTAATTGGGATTTTTGACTTCCGGGGCAGAGAGAAGCAGTTTGTAATGTTGTAGGGCTTCTTACAGCTTCTCGTTTGAGGTCGTGTTTATCTGGCCATGCTAGGCAGGCTCTTTGAGCTTGGCAGTCCTGCTAAAAGTAGGTAATGGGGGCGCCTGGGTGGCTCCATTGTTAAGTGTCTGCCTTCGGCTTGGGTCGTGATCCCGGGGTCCTGGGATCGAGCCCCGCGTTGGGCTCCCTGCTCAGCGGGAAGCCTGCTTTTCCCTCCACCACTTCCCCTGCTTGTGTTCCCTCTCTCACTGTCTCTCTCTCTGTCAAGTAAATAAATAAAATTTTAAAGATTTTAAAAATTAAAAAAAATAAAATAGGTAATAGATTAAATCTGGGGAATCACACGGTAAACCCATTGATAAATGTTCTTCCTATTGGCCTGTAACCTGTTCCCCATGACGGTCAGAAAGGTGTCTGTGTGCACTTTTATCCCATGAAATAGATGATTTAAAGAATGTCTTACACGATTTAAAGAATAAAGTGAACATCCCTGTACCCCCTTCTCAGTTTAAGAAATAGAGTATTACAGGTTCCTTAGAATACCCAGGGTCCCCTATCCAGTCACACCATCTCCCTACCCGCTGCCCCTTCCCCAGCCAGCCCCTATGCTGAAGTCCCAAACTATTAATTTTCGTATAAATTTATCACCTCTCTGTATTTTTAAACAGTACATATTATTTGGTTTTCTTGTGTCTGATCTTCACGTAAGTGGAATCGTATTTTGCACACTCCTCTTGCTTTCCTCACTCGGTGTCTTGGAGAGTTCGGCCGTATCGGTGCATAGAGTTAGGTTTTGTTCCTGGTTCACTGCTGTAAGGCATTCCGTCACCGGGAGTGGAATGTCTAGTGCGGAACTTGGTTTCTGTGTCCACAGCACCGTTAATGCTCGTTGGAGTGTTTTGTACGGTGATGACCCAAACTGTATGAGCGTTCTTGTCCATGTTTCCCAACACGTGTCAGCCCATGTCCGGGCCAGGTACCTAAGGGTGGGACTGCTGAACTGTAAGATGTGTAAGATGTGCACATGTTCAGCTTTGCTAAGGAACACCCAGCCTGTTTTCAGATGACTTCTATAACCTACACTTGTCGGGGCGGCCAGGTGGCTCAGGTCTTGATCTCAGGGTCAAGCCCCACGTTGGGCTTCATTTTGGGCATGGAGCCTGCTTTAAAAAAAACCAACAAAAACAAAGGAAAAACAAAAACAAAAAAACATACGCTCGTACCAACAGAGTTCCCCTCCCTGCACGTCCTCAGCATATCAACTTTGCTTATGGAATGCATCAGTTTGGGAAGTATGTTTGAATTGAAAGACACTGCTCACTTCATGATGCTTAGCATGTATTTAAAATGTTTAGGTGATGAAGTTCTAGAACCTAGGTGAGGTTTGGTGGGGTGAGGTCCGGAGCTGACGGCTAAGAAAGAATTCTTAAGACTTCTCTGGTGCAAAAAGATGGTTTATTAAAGCACGGGGACAGGACCCGCAGGCAGGAAGAGCTGCTGATATCCCGAGGACTGGCTGATTATATACACAAAGGGGACAAAGGGGGTGTTCAGAAGGGCTATCACCGTAAAGAAGACTGTCAGGATACTGGAGGCCTGGTTATTGTCAAGCCAAGGTTGTTTTTACCTCTAATGAGGCCCTAGCATGAAGACAGTTGGGAGTTTCTTGGCAGAATGTCACATTCCTCCTATCAAGCGTCCTTGTCAATGAGCTTTAGGTTTAGAAGAAATTTAGCTTTGTTTGTACTTTCTTTCATCTCAGGCTCCTTCAGTTTTATGGAGGGGAGGGCGCTGTTAGGGCTTTAGGAACTGAGTTATTTGTCTCTGGAAGTTAGGCTGTTGATAAGATAGCTTCTTTGTTGTTATCACTAGGGCATTTGTGAACCAAGGGAGACTCCCATCTTGCAGAATTGTGATCTCTGCAAGTTAACTATTTGTTTTTCTTTTAGGCAGCAGGAATGTCACACATATTACCGAGGGGAGCGGGTGGAGGGGGGGTGCAAGGTGCCAGCTTTTGCTTTGTCCTCAGCCAGCCTTCTGCTCCCTCATCATAGGGACCTCTGTGTTTTCTCTTCTTCCATTAAATCCCTGTTGGTACCCTTCACTCTTCTTTTCTAGGTTGTCATATGTTGATTGTAGGAATTTTTTTTTAAGATTTTATTTATTGATTTGACAGAGATCACAAGTAGGCAGAGAGACAGGCGGAGAAAGAGGAAGGGAAGCAGGCTCCCCACCGAGCAGAGAGCCCGATGCGGGACTCGACCCCACGACCCTGAGACCATGACCCGAGCCGAAGTCAGAGGCTTTAACCCACTGAGCCACCCAGGCGCCCCGATAGTAGGAATTTTTGAAATATTCTGGATGCTAATCCTTTCCCAGCTCTACGTATTGCAGATGTTTCCCAGTTCTTAGTTTCTCTTATTTTTATGGTGTCTTTTGATGAGCAGAAACTCTTAATGCAGTAAATTTCAGTAATCTTTTCCTGCCTGGCCGTTGCTTCCAGTGTCTCAGTCCCGCTACTGGGCCAGTCCGTGCATTTCCTCGTTGAGCTTTAGTGCTTTCTCCGTCACAGTCAGGTTTTCGTATATACGCAAGGGCCTCTCTATAGGATCTGCATTCTGTCCGTTGGCCTGTTTGCTCTTTGCTCTGATCATTCTTTACTAGCTTTCCTATTCTAGTTTTACAAGTCTCACTGCCCGGTAAGGGTAGTCCTTCCTCTTTGTCCGTTTTCATTAGGTATATCTTGGCTATGATTGGACCTTCGTCCTTCCATGTGACCTTCAGATTCAGCTGTCACATTGCCCAAAAATATCTTTTTTTAAAGATTTTATTTATTTAGGGGCGCCTGGGTGGCTCAGTCGGTTAGGCGTCTGCCTTTGGCTCAGATCATGATCCTGGAGTCCCTGGATCGAGTCCCACGTCGGGCTCCCTGCTTAGCAGGCCGTCTGCTTCTCCCTCTGACCCTCCTCTTGTCATGCTTCTCTCTCACTCTCTTGCTCTCTCTCTCTCAAATAAATAAATAAAATATTTAAAAAATATATTTAAAAAAAATTTTTTTTAAATATTTTGTTAAATAAATGTTTTATTTATTTATTTATTTGAGAGAGAGAGAGCAAGAGAGTGAGGGAGAGTGATAGAGAGCATGAGCAGGGGCAAAGAGCAGAGCGAGAAGGAGAAGCAGACTCCCTGCCGAGCAGGGAGCCCGAGGCGGGGTTCGATCCCAGGACTATGAGAACTTGAACTGAGCAAAAGGCAGATGCTTAACCGACCAAGCCACCCAGGTGCCCCCTCCCTGCATCCCACGTTCAGGCCTGCTCCCTCTCTCTGTGCATGCACGCATGCGTTAAAGGTTTACTGTACAGAGAATGCATTTAGTTTACAAATTAAATGCTTAAAATAATTTTCTTTTCATAAGTCCCAGAGCCCTTCATGTGTAAAAATAAACTGATCTACATCAGAAGAACAATGAACACATTAACAGCATTCATCTTCAGTCAAAATGTTTGTGCATTGGGTTAAAGAATTTACCATTGTACCTTGCGTTTCTTCTCTGTGGAAACTTTTTTACTGCACCAGATAAAAATTACCCCTGATGATGGGAATTGTGTCCTATTGCTGTGACAGGATCGTGGACCTTGTCCATTCTCAGTGAATATTTGTTTAAATAAATTGAGTTTAACTCCTTGATATAAACATATAAAAGTTTATGACTTTCGGGGCGCCTGGCTGGCTCAGTCAGTGGAGCGTGTGACTCTTGATCTCAGGGTCGTGAGTTCAAGCCCCACATTAGGCGTAGAGCCTACTTTTAAAAAGTGGGGGTGGGGAGAGAAAGTTCATGTTTTTCAAAGGAAGTGTTCCCCTTGGGATAGAGAGAAAAGACAACACAGGAAATGTTTTCTTCTAGGTCTAGAAACAAAGAACCGTAAGTGATTTCTGGCTCCAGGGCACCTTTCTCCAGCTTTGTATCCAGTTATTTGCAGGAGCAATGAATGAAACAATAAATGATACATTGACTAGCTATTTTAAAATAGAAGACAAGCCCTGGCTACTTTTAGGACTCCTGTACAGTGGTTTTAAAACTATTTGAGAAGGAAAAAAGTTTGCAGCATTCTGATATAATTGTAGAGGACGGTTTTGGGTATGACTTTGTGTCTGTTCAAATGAATCTCTAATTTGCTGAGCTTCCCAAGCTCAGCAGTATTTTGTGTGTATTTTTAAAAATTCTTTACAAGACAATAGGGTTCAGGACGCCTGGGTGACTCAGTCATTTGGGCATCTGCCTTCAGCTCAGGTCGTGATTCTTGGGTCCTGGTCAGCCTCCCCGCTCAATGGGGAGCCTGCTTCTCCCTCTGCCTACTGCTCTCCCTGCTTGTGCTCGCTCTCTCTCGCTCGCTCTCTCTGACAAATAAATAAATAAAATCTTAAAAAAAAAAAAAAAAGACATTAAGATTCTATGCCATGGCCTCTCCCCTGTCCCCAAAAAGGGAGAGATGTATTTTAAGTACTCAAAATCTGACCTTGAAGAAGGTGCGGGAAGTCCTCTTCCTCTGTGTCTCAGCACAGTTGTCAGGGTCACTCCCATGATCACATCAGGGCAGGGGCAGCCTCTGGAAGCGGTCTCTGAGCATGCCCTCCTCAGCAGAACTGTCCTGGGAAGGCGGTCAGCCACAAATGAAATGACAGTCGCCCACTTCATGCGAGAACTCAGAATTCGCCAGTCAGA